GGTGAAAATTTCATGTCATTAGCACCTCTAGTAATATATTTACTGAGAAAAATGTTGACGTGTTCAATACTTATTTTACCCACTGTATATATATTTATATTTATTTCTTGATTTCTTTCCTTTTTTTAATCAAACTGTTGTCTGTGCACCTATAGGACTGTAACTGTGCTGAAGGGTTCCTGATGTGAACTCGCTGAAGGTCCGGTCCGGTCCAGTCCGTGCCAACTCCTGCTTTGTTTGTGCCGAACGTGTTTTGGCTGCGCAGCAAAAAGGCGGAAGCTTCAGAGTCTGGAGATCTGTCAGCCTTTTTCAGGCTTGGCAGTAGTTTATTAGCAAACATCTGTGCTGCTGAAATACATCTTTTCTCTTTTTGTTTCCCTCCTCCTCCACATGAAGTGATTTGCTCCGTTGCTCCTTCTTTGGTACCGTAATGTGAACAGGATTGTGTGGGCTCATGAGGAATGATGCAGGCCAGGTTTATTTATCCTTCTCCGTGAGGTTTACATTCTTCTTTTCCTCTCTGCTCTCTGTCTGCTTCGTTCCTGACCCTCCTTTGTTTCTGCTATTATCTGAGAGATAGCTGCTGCTGCWGCACACACTGTCTGCAGACCTACAGGGCGGCAAAATAACTGAGGATATTTTACTAACAAACCCAGTTCTGACAACTGAAATATCTGGCTTTCAGGTGTTAGTRAGTGCCAAATGTAAAGAAACATTTATTTTATATTTTGGTATTTTACTGAGTGTTGTCAAAGTATTTATAGATTGGTTTATCAAAAATGGTAAATTTTTAGGAATACATAATACAGCCTGGTACTTACTGTGTACTTACCTGGTATGTATCTGGCACTTAACGGGGACTTAGCAGGTTCTTTCTTGGTAATAAATGGGTACATAACTGGTACTTTCTCAGTACTTACTGGGTTGGTACCTGATATTTAATACTTGTCACTTGAGGTATTTAAATGGAAACTTTATTCTAAGTACAGGATAATTGCAGAGTACAAATCTGTTTCTCACTGGGATCATAACAGGTTCTTACTGGGTACATACAGAGTGTAAGCTGGATTCTTACTGGTTACCTACACAGTGTGCACTGGATTCTTACTGGTTATCTACACAGTGTGCACTGGATTCTTACTGGTTACCTACACAGTG